TTGCAAACACCTACAACCCTCGGCTCTTTTCTTCTCCAGACTCCATTCCGCCTCCCTCTTACATCCCGTGATCAATCACCTACCTACAGAAATCACAACCACACAATCACCCCATCCGCTTCTCATCTCCTTCACCGACCACCCTTGAATCTCCATTGATCTTTCAATTTCAATTCACAATACATTTATCATTGTTTATCTAAATGGATTAGATTTAGAATAGAATCAGAGTACAAATCTAAAACAAAATCCACCAGAGGGACAGGGACCACTATTAGTGATATTTCAAGTTAGGTAGTTAAGCAATCTCGAAGTTGTGGGTTCGACTTCAGGTATATGTGATTTTTCTTTAATTTTTTTTTATTTATCTATATATTGTATTTAACTTACAATATTGACCATATTTTCACATATATAAAAAGTAGAAACATGTTTTTTTTTTTTTTTTTACATCAAATAATGACTATATAGAAGAAACACTACTAGAAAAATGACGTATATGGATCGAACATATACAGACCGAATAGTGTCGGTCCAAAAAAATAAATATTCGGACGAATATCGGTCCGAATATATTCAGGTGGCATAAAATATGCTAATCAACATATTCTAACCGGTATCGGCCTGTATATTACTGGCGAGAATCCACAGTATAAAAGCGCCAATAATATTCAGACCGAAAACGGTCCGAATATTATTTCTGAAAAAAATAAATATTAAATAACGAAAACATGAATAAAATATTATTTAAATAAATATATACGGACCGACTTCAGTTTGTTTATATCCATCAGAAAATACGAAATTTCATTTTTCTATTCGGACCGAGTTCGGTTCGTATATTTATTATTTTTCATAAAAAATAAATATTAAATAACAAAAATTAAGAATGAATTATTATTTTTAATGAAAATATACTGACCGAAATCGGTCCGTATATATTATGTTGAAAACCGTATATATGAATTTATTATACGGACCGAGATCGATCCGTATATACATATCTGGACTGATCACGGTCTGAAAAGTTGCGGCAGGGAATCTCTGAATTGATTGGACACTGGGGCCCACCCACAATTTTTTTCAGACCGGGATCAGTCTGAATAAGGCTGCATGCAGCCTTCTTCCTCGCGTGTCGCCTGTCCACCCCCCATTCTGCGATTTCTCCACAATTTTCCTCTGTTTTTTCTTTCTTTTTTCTTCCTCTCCGTTGCAAGCTTCTCCTCCTCCAATCTCTGGCTAAC